TCTTGGATGACAGTCCAACATCCAATAAAATCGCACCGGTCCAATACAATGACCATCCAATTATCATCCAACAAACATCCAATTAATAACTATATATAGTTATTAATATTTTACGATTTTGTTTTTTGATTGATATTTATATACATTGTTTTTTATGAAACTAAAAAAAATATACGAATAATTGGTTGAGTATTGGATCGAAAGATTGGATGAATCAAATCAGATCCAATGCATAACCAATAGTAACATCCAATGGATGGAACAGATCCGATCCAACATCCACTGAATTTGGATCGGATCAGATGTCCAATACTAATCGGATTGGATTGGATGACAAATCTAACATCCAATGGATGATTGGATCGGATCGGATCGGATCCACTTAAATCCATTGCATATCAACAGATGAACACCCTTAATGTAAACTGTGAATTAGGTCATTAACCCCAACTTATGTTAAAAGGCCTCGTTAAGTTGGGGGTATTTTGGTTTTTCCCCTTTTTATTTAATTTTAGAGTGGTAAATTATAAATTTCGTCCCTGTGGTTTTAGGTTGATTACGAACAAGGTCCCTAAACCCTAAACGTTATGAATAGGGTCCTCGTGGTTTCATTTTCATGATGGATCTAGTCCTTTACCCTAAATTTCATTTTTTTAAAACTCTATTAAGTAATGAGTATTTTGGTCCTTTTTCACTGTTTAAAAAACATTTTAATCCATACAATTAATATATACCACCTTTCCCCCCAACCCACCTCCTATTTCTCTTCTCCGTGAACTTCAATGGCGGTGCCAATGGGCCTTTGGGCTAAGGGTATCGTTGTCTTTGGCGTCCTAGGAGGTTGGGGGTTCAAACCTCACCAAAGATGAGGAGGGTGTGTGAGTTTGTTTGTTGCATATGTTGTATATAAATATTATATACTTAAAAAAAACTTCAATAGCAGCTCTTTGCATTGATTATAATAATTAAACTGGCCTAGTGGTATGTGAGTCTTTGGCCTCCTAGGAGGTCAAGGGTTCAAACCTCACCAAAGGTGAGGATGGTGTGTGAGTTTATTTGTTCTATTTGTCGTATATAAATATATATACTTTAAAAAAATATTAAAAAAACAGTAAGAGTCCCTCGACTATCGACGATACCGTTAGAAAACACAATCGAACACCGCGAAGGCCGCCCCTACTTTTAACTCGTTTTCTTTTTAGCTGTTTTTTTATTTTTGGAATAATAAATTATAGACCAAATATATATACTTTCTGATTAATATATATAGCTAAAGTATTCTTTTATATGGTTGTCATCTACTATCATCTTCTGTCAATAAAATGAAAATATGTACACTGATATTCCTTCTGACTAACTCCCATTAAAAATATCAGTTAATTTAGTGGCATTTTAGCTTTTTAGTCTTTTTTTTTAATTGTCATTATTTAATCGCCACCCTTCCCCTCTTTGGCTCCCCCCTTTCTTCTTCGATCAACCCCCTACACACAAATCTCACCAACCTACCCCGTCTTCATCTCCAAGCCAGACCCTTTGTTCATGTTTAACCACCACTAGACACTACAAGCACTTGATTTGCCACCCAAGCCCTCGATCTACCATCATCTGTCAACCCTAAGTCCCTTATCCGAGACCCCCATATTTAAAACTTTGATTTGCCACTAACATAAACACCTAAACCCCACGTGCAAATTCTCGTAAACTACCACTTTCCACTGTCGTAAAACCCTACCTATCATGATCATAAAACCCTCGATACGAGACCTTTCCATTTGCAAACCCTCTAATTACCTGGCACCATGATGACTTTCATGTAGATTCCAATCGGAATTTGATGGTGTTTATAGAGAAGAAGAAAAAAAGCAGAGGATGGGTGATGGTTATCGTGGAAGAAGGAAATTGGTTTTGTCATTGCTTGGGGAGTGGGGGGTTGAAGGGTTTGTATGTGCGTGTGACTGTGTCCCTCTATATATATCGTTATTTATTTTTAAATTAACGTAAAAGAAATGATAAAAAGACTAAGATATCTCTAAATTACTGGACTTTTTTAACAAGAGTTAGTCAAGGGGATCAAATTCGAAACAAAATGACGACAACAATGACAATCAACTTAACTATTTTATTTTAAGGACGAAAACTGATTGGGAGTAACAACCATAAGGACCAAAAATGTAATTTAAATGTTTTTCTGTTATAACAACGCCAATGATGCGAAAACTGGTGTTAAGGTGGAGGCCACGTGGCAATGAATTTTTTGTGGTACAAGTGATGGGGCCACCAATCCTAGGACTACGTGTAGACCACGTGGCTTGTCTCATCAGCAATCCCCCGTGAACCATATTACAATTCCCGAGATCACCTTATTTTAATCCAAATCTGTTGTTTATTTTTAGTAATGTTTAGGTTTGAGATTTAAATTTCAAATATATATTATAAATTAATTTAAAAAGATTCTTATAATTTGGACATGCATTTTTCTTTTTAGATCTTAATAATTAGTTACATAAAGTATGTATCTAGATAATTTATATATACATAAATATATTTTCTTACACAATTTTCACACACATACACAAATACATTATACATGCATGTGTGTATATATCACCGAATTTGGATCAGATGCTTCATATAATATTGGATGCTAATTTAAAGTACTCGTTTAGTATAAAGAAAAAACTATGTTTTATTTTGTTTAGATGATCATGATGAAGCGGTGGGGGGTACCCGGTGGTGGATGTAAGAGGTGCTGCATTACACTACTAAATGAAAAACTTGTACCTACAGGTTTTTCTTTGGTAAATTCGTCACTAAAGGGTGATTCGTCACATAACCCGTTACAAAAGTTGGTGGATAATTCAAACCAATAACAGATTACTCAGTTGTTTTCTGGGTGATATGTTGATATTTTCTTGGATTCTACCGAAAGCATTACTATTTTCAGGGTAATCTGTCGGTAATCACCAAAGGAAAATTCCTTGGACAAAAGTCATATGTTTTGTCGTAGTGTTAATTATTAAAGGATACGAAAACATAAAAAAATATAAAAATACAAAAAAATATTGTTTGATACTAAAATGTTGAAAAATGACCATTTTGTCCTTGAGTTAACGAAGGCTGTCAAACAACCATTTGGCCATGGGACCATGACCGTGACAAATTGAATATCACAAAGACCAAATCCATAACAAACATAGTATAGGGACTTGACTCTTGAGCATCTCCAACAGATATGCTATATTTTCTTTTAGATTTAGAAGTTTCTCCATTCTCATTCCTTTATTTCAAAAGAGAGTTTAGTACGGTTATTGAAGCAATTTTTTTTTTCTCAAATATATACAATTTATAAAATAACATAGTTGTTAAAGATACTGTTGATCACAAAACGCAAGGAGGAAATCCGCAATTCACTCTATCAACAATTAACAATAAAATATATCATAATTTATTGTGATAAAATCTTGGAATCAATTCTTAAGAGACATGAATTTAGATTGAAGCGTCTACTTGATTTTATTTTTGTGTGTGACAAAGGTTGGAGATTAATTTATAATTAATATTACATTATTTTTAACAGAGGCAGAACACAAATGGACTGGATCAACAATAGTGGAGATTCCCAAAAAAAATTATACTTAAAACCTTAATGAACTAGAGATGATTCACTCCATCGGGGAAAAAAGCCTAGGAACCAAGACCCCTGTGGCCATCCGCCCCTGATTTGTAAGAAATACCTTTTGATGTAATATATTACTTAAGAATATAAAAACAATTTTTTAATATATAGTATTTTAAGGTGTTGTTAATATATAGATTCTTTAAAAATAAAAAGGAGGAAGATAAAATTCCTCAAATTTGAATCATTCTTTACAATTTGATGCTAGGATAAGTAAATGTATTTTTTTTTCACACTCCTTTTAAAATTTATTAAAAAATTAAATATTTTAATAATATAACTGATAATTAAAATATGAAAAAAGTTATTGGAGTTGAAATATAAACGAAATGGAAAAAAAAAACAAAAGTCAAGTTTTTAAAAAAAATTACGTTTATCTTCAACAACTATTTTGATGATTATAATATAATTATATTATTTAATTTCTATAAATTTTTAATTTCAATGATTTTTATTAGTAGAAATAATATCATTTTTAAAAGATTTCTTTAAGTTTAAGAATTTCAATTTTTCTATTTTATTTTCTTTGTTTTGGAAAAGATTTTAGCAGTAAAAAAATTGTTGGAAATGCTCGAAGAGAATCTACAACAATTTTTTACAGTATTATTTTAATATTCACATTTAATTTCAACAGATTCTTTATTTTAGATATTTTAAAATTCATTAAGTTAATAAAATATTTTATAAATTTATCATGATAATACCCTTTTAAAAAAAGTTATATAAAATAATAATGATTCCATCCCATTAGTGGTAATGAATTAAAAGATTACTCCACACATAAAAATTTGAAGTCCGAGTTAAACTTAGAGATGGAATTCTTTCGTTTCTCGACAATGAAGTAAGACCAAGCTCATAAGCTTATTATCTCAGGTCGGAACAAGTTGGTAGGATCCTCTTTTTACGTCTCGTGCCCTCTGTGTGACGACATAGGGGCGAATCTAAACCTAGTTTTTTTAATCATTTTTTTCTATTTTAACGAATAATATAGGAATTTGTTTGAGCAAAATAAAAAGGAAAAAATTATTTGTATATTTTGTAAAAATAAAATAAAATAATAAAAAAGCAAATAGTATGGTTTTGAAAAATGGAGTGTGAACACAATCCCCAGTCAAAAGCATAGCTTAGAAGCAAGACCCAATCATAAACAGAAACAAACTTTAACCGGCACCTGTCCTCTCTCCTCGGCCACTTGTCGATGCTCTAGAACGCGTATTACAACAATTTTAACCTAACCATGGTTAACCTCCTCCACCTCACCCCACCCCACTATAAAACCCACCCTTCTCTATCCCAATTTAGTCAAAGAAAAAAGTGAGTTTTTGAGACCTTCTTGAACACACCCACAAAGAAGAAGAAGAAAAAAGCTTCTCCTGGTTTTCTTTAAAAGTTTCTTGAAAAGTTTCTTTAAATTCCCCCCCCCCCCCCCCCTCCCCTCTGTAATTCCCCGCTTCTGTGTATCCCTTTCTGTAAATCATCTGGTCTTTCAATCAACAAAAAATTTACGATTAATTTGGGTTTGTTTTTCTGGGTTTTTGATGATTGTCATGATTATTATGAACAAAAAAGCAGACTTTATTTGATTTTATTTTTTTGAAACAAAACGAGAGAGAGAGAGAGATTCAGGTGTTTTCAGAATAGCGATCCATCTTTTTTAATTGGGTTCTATTTTCTGTTCATCAAAATCACACCTTTTTACGGGTTATTTTTGTTCCCAAAAGGTTGGTTTTTTTTTCTTTTTAATTTTATCTTCAAAACTGGGTTTGATTATTTGAAAACTCCGTCTTTGTTTCTTGATTTTCCTGGTATTTTTTTTCTTGGGAAATCATCTTTTTTTGAATATTTTCTGTGAATTAATTAAAAAATTGAAAAAAAAAATAGATTAATGGCTTCAGCTGCAATGGATTTCTGGAATGGCAGTGGCTTTCAGCAGTCAACAGCTGGTGGTGAACTCATGGAAGCACTTGAACCTTTTATTAAGAGTGCTTCTCCACCTCCTCTTCCTCTTCCTCCTCCTTCAAATTACCAAAATACCCTTCTTCTCTCCACTCCTTCTACCTCATTTCCATACCCTTCTTCTTCTTCTTGTTTTCTTCCTCCTTCTCCTTCATCTTCTTCCTATATCTCCACTATCCATTCCCAACCCGGTTTCTACCCGGATTACTCTATCCAAGATCAGTTTGGCTATGAGCAACCGGCTTCTTCCTTCGGGTTGACCCAGTTAACCGAATCCCAAATGTACCCTATGCAAACCCAGATGGATTTACCCACCCAATGGCCTCAAAATAGCAACTTGAATTTCTTGGCTCCGGAGCCTGTACCCGTCAAACAATCCGGGTCACCTCCGAAACCCACGAAGCTTTACAGGGGTGTGAGGCAAAGGCACTGGGGAAAATGGGTTGCGGAGATCCGTTTACCCAAGAGCCGGACCCGGCTTTGGTTGGGTACATTCGATTCGGCTGAAGAAGCCGCGTTGGCGTATGATAAAGCCGCGTACAAGCTGCGTGGAGACTACGCGCGGCTCAACTTTCCGCAGTTGCGTCATAACGGGTCACACATCTCCGACTTCAAGCCACTCCATTCCTCCGTCGTAGCCAAATTACAGACCATTTGCCAGTGCTTGGCCGAGGGAAAATCCATCGACGGTGCTAAGAAATCCACTTCTCGCCGGTCGTCGTCGGCGGCGGCGGCAAAGCAAGCAACGGTTTCACAGCAAGAGGTGGTGAAGGTTGAAGGGTTCGAGAGTGAAGGGTACGCCGGATCTGGAAACTCATCTCCGTCGTCCGATCTGACGTTCCCGGAGTTCACGGCGGACGATGGGTGGTGCGGATCGGAGGCTTTCTCGCTGGAGAAGTATCCGTCGTATGAGATAGACTGGGGGTCAATCTAAGTAATAACAGTTGAATTAGAGGGGCATATTTGTAATTTGGTAGGATTTTGGTTGTAATTTGGGTAGCGAGGTTGGGAGTCTTCCGTAATGAAGTTTTTGGTAATTGCGGAGCTCACCGCTTGAGTGTAGTGGGGTAGTTTGGTAAATTTGATTTTTCTAGTATCTATATTTTGTTTGGACTTTTGGGAAAATTTATGAAATCCCATTATTGTCCTTACTCCATGCATTGGGATGGTTTTTTATCGGCCGTAACCCCCAATCGAGTATTTATTAAATCTCAATTTGGTTTTAATATATGTTTAAAGTCTTACAAATGTTTATTTATATTATTTTTTTTAAAAATTTAATTTTTATGTATATCATATATCATGAAATAATAGTATCACATATGATTGTTTATAGTAAAATAATGTTGTTCTTACGTTCTTGTAAAATGAAGATGTTTTTATTTGAGCTCTTCCATATATATATATATATATATGATTATGTAAGACCAGTTTTATGAAATCTATGATATCATATTGTATAGTATTCTTGTCGACACATGCACTTTTGATGCAATGTATCATTTAGATGTATTCTTTTGCATGTTCAATGCTCTTTGTTTCTTGTCTGTATTGCTTTCAGATGATCTTTAACTTTAGATCTTTTATACTATATTTTGTGGTGAGATATAGTAGATATGTTTTATTTATATTTGGTTGGGTTTTATTTATACAACTTTAAAGCATGTGCGAATGATACTTTATCTCTGAGGAAGGATGTAATGGTAATGGTAATGGTAATGATAATCAAATCAATAAAATGAGATGGTGAAGAACTTAGATTTGAATTATTGTATTATATTTAAAATGGTTTAATAATTATACAAATTGATAATCTTTGGATTCTTTTTGTGATTATGATGATATTTGATGTTTATAAATTAAAATGTCAAAAAGTGAATTTTGAAAAAAAGCAAGTAAAAAAAGAGATGGAGTAAATTACAAATTTTCGATAAGGCCCCTCAAAATATCACCATTGTCATTTAAACATTTAAAATGTTTTTAAGAATCACAAGTATAGTGTCTGATTGGTTTGAACTTGACTTTAAACGTTAAAAGTGCCTAGAGGTCTCCGGTTCAAATCCAATGAGGAATAAAAATCTCCAGCCACGGAGGTTCAAATTAGGGGTGTATAAAAAACTGTCAACCCGAAAAACCCGTCCATAACCCAACCCGTTAAAAACCCAATTAACCCCAACTTACCTAACCACCAAACTGCTAACCCGCTAGTTTGAAAGGTTGAAATTGGGTTGAGCTAATCCGCCGCTAATATATAATTTTTATAAAATTTTATTTATATATATATGTGTTTATTATGCATATATATATATATATATATATATATTAATAATGTATAAAATTTTATATAATTTTTTATTGATATTATGTTTGTATTTCATTTTAGCTAAACGTATAGGTTACCAAAAAAGATTCACGATCAAAGAATGATAGACAAATAATCTAATTAATAGGAGAAAATTATTGAAATCTTTTTTGCCAGCAAACAACCACTACAACAAAAAAAAAAGGGTTTATATTGATAGGTATTTGGTTGACGAATCCATCAATCTAAATACCCAGTCATTTTATGTTGTACTTTAGTGAAAAGAAAATGCTTAGTTATAGCATTTTGCTATAACAACATTAGATCTTATAGGATGCCTAGAATATCTAAGCATCATAATATGATACTTTATAGAATGAAACAAGAAAAATGTCTTATCTAAAAGTGTTACAATATGTTTTATAGGATGATTTTGAGCATCTTAACAAATTTTTTGACGCTTTTAAAATAAAATGTCGTATTAGTTATTTTATACTACATGACTTGAAAATCATATGAACATATGTATTCTATAAATAGATGAGTTTACGGGAACACTTCTTAAAATATTTCTATAAAATAACTAATACAATATTTTATTTAAAAATCATTCTAAAACACTTGTTGAAACGTCAAAAAACATTCTATAAACCTATTGTAACCTTTTTCGATAGAACGTTTTATAATATGGTCTATAAACTTAAGTTTTATGAATTATTTCATTCATCAAATTTTATGTAACTACTAAACCGCCAACCCAACCCAACCCGCAAGGGTTGGGTTGGATTGGGTTATACTTTTGAATGAGTTGGATTGGGTTATCCTTTTGAATGGGTTGGGTTGGATTGAGATTTTTTCAAATTTGCCATAATTGGGTTGAGTTGTAAAAATGTAGTAAACCGCCCAACCCAACGCGCGTACACCCCTAGTTCTAATGCGATGACTCCGGGCTACCCGCAAAACATGTGATCGTCCTGGGAATAGTCGGCTCACATAACGAATTGGATATCCAGGTTAATAAAAAAAAGTTTTTTAAGCCTTCAATTGTTGTTGTTTGATGAACATGGAGATAAAAGAAGAGATTCCCTAAAGATAGGGCATGTAAAATGTTTTTTGATTAATGGTAGAAAGATTTTAATGTCCCTCATTCAACAATATGTTTTTTTAACTGAATTAGATCAAGAGATCCAGTTAACTGAAACCTTAGTGATAGTAATTGTAATTTCAAAACTATTCCATCAAATTTCTTTAAAATCAAATTCACTTGATAGATTCTAATTCCACCAAATTTCATTCTGCGAACCAAACACCTCTTTATGACTCGTTTGGTTTGATGGAATAGTTTTGAAGGATTTTGATACAAATCCTACAAAATCCCGTAAAATACCAATCACCCTCACACATGAGTTTCAACTTGTAAATATGCTTATCAAGAAATTACACCAATCATATGAGTTTGCTCGAATTAGAAACTATTTATCTATACAAACCGGATAAGTATCTATTATCCGATAAGCGCCAACTATAAAAGAGTCACCAACAATAATTAATACTGTTGGTATAAACCATCATCTCTGATCGAGTAAACGTTTTTTATCTGGTGAAAATTCCGTTTGGTTTGTAGGATTTGATTGGATTGGATCTGAGATGATCTGGAATTCAATTCCATTCCAATCTCATATTTGGTTTGAAGAGTTTCTTGGATTTGAAATTCCAAAAACATAGGATTCTAAAATCTCACGAGAATAGTTGACATTTCACGGGATGTTGTAAAAATATGTATCTAATAATGTTTTTAAAACATTTATTTTATAATAATAAAAAAGTAATTTTATAATTTTTTAAAATACTTATTTTATAATAATAAAACAATGTTTTTAAAACATTTATTTTATAATAATAAAAAAGTAATTTTATAATTTTAGAAAATAAAGAAAGCATTCTAAAATCAAATCCTTGTGCAAATCTCTTTATCATTAGTAATTCAAAATTTATTTTTTAATTTAAAGTTAAATGCATGAAACAACAACCTATTTTCATAAACACTTTCTTATTATAGTATTCTATTTTCATTTTTTTTATTAGATCAATGTAATTTCAAATTATTTTTTATTAAGGCATTGCACTTTAAAAAATCTATCCATTATAGTAATGGGTAACCTGTTACCTTTTAAACCGGTTAGCCCCTTGACTTTTTTTTGCTTGTGTAGCTTTAATGAGGTGATGTAGATGACACATCATTTTAATGACTTAACTAAAATAAAAATAAAAACATATTTCAAATTATTATTAGTGATTTTCATTTTTCATTGCTATAATTTAAAAAAAAAACATTTAATTTTTTTTTTGACTTTTTCTTATCAAGTTGCATGCAAATTAAATATTGTAGAGTAAAATATTTTTTTAAATAAATATGATACATTATTTTCGAGATATATTTTGTTTGTAAAAAATGTAACACTTCTTATTTTATGTTGTTCAAAAAAATATATCTTTTTAAAATTCACTCTAAAATGTTACCGAAATAAATTATGAACTATAATTTTTTAATATTGTTATATTAATAAATAATTCAAAAAATCTAATTGATTTAATATATTTATACGTCAAGTAAAAAAGTTTTGAAACAAATATAATATATTATTTAAAATATCATTTTTTTTGGTAAAAAGGAACAATTCTTATTTTTTTTTCAAAAAAACATATATTTTTTTAAATATTAGCTAGATAAGTTGTTTTCTGCTAGTTTTATTAATATTGATATATTAATGAATAATTTAGATTTTTCTAATTTATTTAATATATTTATTAAATAACATATAAAATATCTAAATATTAAAATTAAAATAAAAAATACATTATTTAATAAGAACTAATAGATGTTATAATAAAATAATTTTAAAAGTACAATACTATAATAAGAAAGTCACATCATTATAGTACATGTGAACAACCTACGCGAACAATGAGGTGGCATGAAAACCTGGTATAATGGGTAAATTTAAATCAAAAGGTTACTCAATGGCCAATGCTATAATGAGTAAATTTTTCAAAGTACAATGTTCTAATAAAAAATAATTTAAAAATATATTACTGTAATAAAAAAAACAAAAAAACAATATTATAATAATAAAAAATTATGAAAATAGATTACTATTTCATACATTTTATCTTTTAATTTATGCTAAGAAATTCATAATGAGAAGGGTATAAAAGTTGTAGAATGGCATGCGCCACTACAAAATCTAATCTAATCCTTGGTTCTACATAAAATAATTTCATTCAATTCCCAACAAAATCAACACGTTTTTATTGACCGAATTTCATTTAATATTCCCAAATATTTAATGCTACATGCTCTATTTCTAATATACTCGTGACCCCCTAAACCATTTAAATCCCCACATTATGGTTTTAAACTTTCACCATATAGTTTGCGATTTTATATTACGGATAATGCGGTTTGATAAAAATGCAAACCATAAAGGCACTCAGAATTGTGAATCACGTTTTGCGATGCGGTATGGACGGTTTGGATGAACATCCCTAATCACAATTTTATGATTTCTCAGGAGAATGCCCTCAGTATATGTATATATATTATTTCTACGAAAGGTTTTTTACTTTTGTGGTTTACAGTTTTGGAAAATGACCAAACCATATATGTGGTGCAGTTTGGGGCCACACCCACCCTTGGTGTAGCACGTTATCCAGATAACTGAACAAAGAATTTATGTGTTGTCTTGTCTTCTTTTTCTATCAGTCACATGATTTAAGTTTTTGCTTTGTATATTTTACCTTCAGCTTTTTTCCCAATAACATTTAACGAAAACTTGTGATCCGAGTATTCCTAATTCAATATTCCCCGAGATTCTTGGTCAACGAATCAAATATACAATCGATGCCACATAAGTTCCATGACCTACTA